AATGGTTTCTTCTTGAATACATTGGCTATTGAAAACAGTTAAAGGTAAGGAACCTGATTTGACAATTACTACCTTAATTAATAAGGATCAAAATGTTTAGATGAATGTTTAGCTTTCAACACACACAAAAAAAGTAATGTTACAAAATGGAAAGTATCATCAGCAAGGAGGCTATGAGGTGTTTTCTTGAGCTTAGTAGTATTACTATTTCTTAGTACTTGCTTACTACTCTTCCTACTCCTCTTCTAACTCCACCCCACTCCCCAAGTGCCACAGCTTAGATAAACTTCTCCAAGTGAACTTACAAAATTTTAAGTCTACATCCACTGGCTTCCCATCATTAACTAGATGGTTGAGCTTGACACAAAGGGAAATTAAATTTGTCAAGGACTTTCCCCTCATGAGCCCTTGCTGTTTGTGACAAATGACTGCATTGTCACTCCACTGTTTTTCAGTAACTGCTGGATTGCCTTATCCATAGTTTTACCAAGCACTGCAGTGAGACTGGTAATCCTGTAATTACCAACCTTTCTTCTCACCTTTCTTGAAAACTGGGACAGTATTTGCCACGTGAAGAAGACTGGGACCTTTCCAGACTCCCAGGGCAGCTGAATAGTAAGGGAGATCATGCAATAACATCAGCCACTTCTCTCAGTACTCTGTGATCACTCCCACTGGGGCCTCAAACAAGTTCAGACTCAGCTGGGGAGTTCATTGTCCCTCTAGTCATGGCCTTCTTGGAGACACCCGTGTGGATGCCACAGCCTATGACCTGTGTTAAAGACACAAGTGAAGAAGGCATTCAATCCCTCTGCTCTCTCTACCTCCCTATTTGTGAGGTAACTGACCCCATCAAGCAATGGACCAGTTATCTTTGATTTTAATTTTTATAAGTTTGCTTCAGTTTCTTATTTCTTAAACACTCTACATAGTTTGATCATAATGTTAGACAGTAAGTAGTTCAGTATTTTCTAAAATGAGTTTTCATGTTGTTAGTTATCTGACCTTGAACAACTCAAACAATACAACTTCGTAAATTCTAGCAGCTTGGTCTTCAAGCCTGTATGTTGAAATGCCTTCAAGAAATTAGAATGTATACATGATCTAGCAACAAAAGTTTCACTCACTGGTGGAATTATTCCAGGGAAGATATCACTGTCTTTGTTGGGGATGTTCAGTTGAAGCCTTGACAAAAGCAGCAAAATGACCAACCAGCTCATCTCTCCGTTTCCCCCATGTAATTCAGGTGCCTGAAAACAGGAAGTTTTAATTCACTATTCTTTTGAATCCTAGTCTAATTCTGGTTGCATTTGTTTAGAAAAGCCTCTTTTCTGGTTACATTCCATACCAACTATGCTCCTGAGCCACATGTTCTGCAGTAAGGAGGTATTCCTTCTTTGCAACAAAGAGCTGCAAGAATGTTTCCTACGAAAAGCACATTAAAAGAACAGTAACTGACATGCTTTCTGTCTATAACTATCTGCTCTGGGGCAGTGTAATTTATTAACTGTATTTCAAAGGCAAATCAACCTGGTTATTTCCAAATGACCTACAAGTCAAGGATGATGCCATGTGCAATAAATGCTCCCTTTTCCATATAAGCAGATTAATATCCTTTCCCAAAACAGGACACCCAGCACTACATCTCCTCCAATACAATGCATTATTAATTATTTTAAGTATTCCAGTTTATTACATTCCATCTTAATATTCCAAAATACTAGATTCAGGAACATAGGATAGTGCATTAAAATTATCTGGAAATTTAACTTATTTTTATATAAATCAATCACTTTTTTCACTTGCAGAACAAAAATATTTATGGTTGGCACTGCTCTAAATCATTTCAAACATTCACAAGCACAAGAGAACACTACAAATTCTTACCTGGAGCTTTTTTTTCCTATTTTATTCAAGCTGCAGCCTACTTTAAAAACAAAAAGGTTTTATCTTAATATTGTAATTAAATAAAATCAGAACGTGAACAACAGGCACTACACTGGTAATAACAGTATCTTTTCCTAGCTCCTCTGTAACTTATTTATGTTGGTACTGAAAAACTTGCATAATGTAAAAAAATCTTATTAAATGTGAAAAAAGAAACAATCATTTTTCAGAACAAAAACTAACACTCACAAAGAACAGGCAAGTCTGGCAAGTTTGTCACCTGAACAAATAGTAGCTTTCAATGCAGAGGCAGGAAGTACTGTGGAACTCAAAATACAACTTGTCAGTCATATAAGTCTTCCAAATTTCATTTTAGTAGTCTTAGACATCAAGATCTTAATAGAATTTGTGTTTTCATATTTTCAACCCATTTCCATTTCTGTAGAGGATACCTCACATTTGTTTCCACATCTACTTTGGCAAATTCACTTGGAAAAAAACATGAATAGTAAATGTCGTAAACACATCAAATTGCCGTAAAATACAGATACATAAAACAAACTGGGTTGGAAGAGATCTTTAAAGGTCACCAAGTCAAACAACCTTGCAACAAGCAGAGTACTTCTTCAACTAGATGAGGTTGTTCAGAGCCCCATGCTCAAAGACATGGAGCAATTACCAATTCTGGGCAACCTGCTCACCACTCCCATTGTAAAGAACTTCCATAGGTCTAGTCTGCATCTACCCTTCTTTACGTTTTAACCATTACCCTTATCCTGTCACAACAGGGCCTGTTAAAAAGTCTGTCCCCGTCTTTTTATCAGCTCCCTGCAAGTGCTAAAAACCCACGATAACGTCCCCCTGGAGCCTTCTCTTCCCCAGGCTGAGTAATCGCAAGTTTCTCAGCCTGTCTTCACAGGTGAGGTGCTACAGTTTTCTAATCATCTTTATGGCCCCCCCCGCTCTAGGCTCACTCCAGCAGGTCCTTCCTGTGCTGGGACCCCAGAGCTGATGCAGCACTGCAGTGGGGTCTCAGCAGAGCAGAGCAGAGGGGCAGAATCCCCTCCCTGGCCCTGCTGCCCACGCTGCTCTGGATGCAGCCCAGGACACGTTTGGCTCTCTGGGCTGGGAGTGCCCATGGCTGGGTCATGTCCAGCCTCTCACTCACCAGCACCCCCAAGCCCCTCTGGGCAGGGCTGCTGTGATCTGTCCATCCCCCAGCCTGGGCTGAAACCAGGTGCAGCACCTTGCACTTGGTCTTGTCAGACCTCAGGAGATTCTCATGGACCCCTTTCACAAGTCTATCCCAAGTCCCTCTGAATGACATCCCATCTTCTAGGTGTGTCATCTGCACACCTGCTGAGGATGCACTTGATCCCCCGTCAGAGTGATTGATGAAGATATTGAATTGTAATGGTTCCAATATAGATTCCTGAGGGACACTGCTCATTTATCACTGATCTCCATCTGGACATTGAGCCCTTGAGCATTGATACCCTCTGGATGCAAACAACCAACCAAATTCTCATCTACTTAAGAGTCCAACCATCAGATTCATTTCTCTCCACTTTAGATCAAACTGATCACTATTTTAATCTAATATTTTCCTACGCTTCTGCTAGTCACACATCAAACTTGAAAGCACGGAAATGAGTACCTACTATAGACATGAATACTGCCAGTAGTAATTAAGAGTATGCCTCTTTATGCCAAGGCTGGTGGTTTTCAAGCCATAGAAAACTATACTGCCAAGAGAAATGTGCTCCTTCAACTCCAAGCAATATTGGTTCACACAATAAGGAGGCTCCAAGATAAACCTCCCCACCATCCCAAATCCTGAAAATTAATTCTATGTGAAATCTAAGTGACACTGCCTGATTAAGCCACACAATTAAAAGAAGTACACTGATTTCCTAAAAGACAAAAGAAGGTTCGGGTCTATTAACACAAACAAAATTTAAAATAAAAATAAAAATAATTAAATAAGCAGCAAGGAAACTACAAGTTTGAAGTTTGCTTGAACGTGTTCCTCATTATTATGTTATCATTCTAAGTATTCAAAACTAGTAAATCCCAGTTACTAGTCAAGAACATACATTGTCCACACAGTAATTTAAGGGCAGACCAGACAGCACTCCATGCTTTTCAGTCACAATTGTTAAGATTTTAGGCAGAACTTGCAAAACTATTCTAGCTGCTATCTGCTTTTTAACATCAAACATGACCAAATTAATTTTGCAAGAAATTCCTGTTATGAGAAATTCCAGGCCTGGGGAAAATTCAAGCCATCGAACAGGTTAAGAACAAAGTTCTACCCTAGTATCATACTACATATACTCAACAGCATTTGGCACACCTCTTTCCAATGCAGTCATACTGATCCAGCCCTGCTTGAAGTTAAAATAAACCACTATCCTAGCATTCAAACAACAGACTCAAAATCCATCATACTGTGCACATGGAAAGTGACAGAAATACACAAAAATTTAGTTTTGATATTTAACTTGAATTTTTCTTACTGGTGTGCACTTCACTCATTACATTATGCATCATTAAAAAAATTAAACTAAACTTTTACAATATACATAAGCATGCACTTCTTGAGTCAATCTGCTGTGCACTGTGAATTCATGGAAATCTTAAACGGAGATGAAGCAGGGAGAGAAAAAGCAATGTAGTCAAGTGTTACCAAATGTGTATCCTGTTTTCTTTGCTTTTCCAATGTTGTGAGATTGGCTATTAACCTTAAATAAGGACAGTGACACATTAAAATGACATAAACATCAATTATTTTCTGGGAAATAAAAACTGAAAACTGTTGACTGCTGACAAGTACTGGACACACAACTGTATCAAGATGGTGCTGGCCAGACACCAGGCAGCCAACAAAGCTGCTCTCCCACTCACCTCTGCAGCTGGACAGGGGAGAGAAAATATAACAAAGGATTCATGGGTTGAGATATGGAGCAGTAGAGATCACTCATAAAATACCATGATGGGCAAAACAGGCTCAACTTAGAGATATTAATTACATTTATTACTAAATAAAAGTAGAGCAGGACAATGAGAAGTAAAAGAAACCCTTAAGAACACCTTCCCCCCACCCCTCCCTCCTTCCCACCTCCACCTCCTCCCCCAGTGGCACAGAGGCAGGGAACAGGGGTTAAGGTCAGCTCAGGACCTGTGGCTTCTCCCACTGCTCAGGGAGAGGAGTCCTTCCCCTGCTGCACTGTGGGGTCCCCTCCCACGGGAGACAGATCTCCATGAACTTCTGCAGTGTGAGTCCATCCCACGGGCAGCAGTCCTCCCCAGAGTGCTGCAGCGTGGCTCACACTTCCACGGGGTGCAGTCCTCCAAGGACAGGCTGCTCCATCCTGGGAGCAGGGCCCCTCTCTCCGTGGGTCTCCCATGGGGTCACAGCCTCCTCTCAGGCATCCACCTGCTCCAGCATGGGGTCCTCCATGGGCTGCAGGTGGATCTCTGCATTCCCCATGGATCTCCATGGGCTGCAGGGGCAGGGCTGTCTCACCATGGGCTGCAGGGGAATCTCGGCACCTGGAACATCTCCTGCCCCTCCTTCTTCACAGGCCCTGGTGTCCACAGGGTGGTTGTTCTCACATCTTCTCACTCTGCTCTTCTCTGGCTGCAATTATAACTGCACAATAACTTTGTTATCACCATTTCTAGTTGGCCCAGCCTTGGCCAGCGGCACATCCATCTGTGGAGCCACCACGGACTGGTTCTGCCAAACATGAAGAAAGCTTCTGGAAGCTTCTCACAGAGGCCACCCCTACAGCCCTGCTGCTACTGAAAATCAGGCCTTCCTTAAGAAGTTGTGTAACTCTGAAATAAAACTTTAAAACTAAATTGTTTGAAAAATATTGTATGGACAATCTTGAAAATGTCCTCTTTCTCTGTCTTCAGTAATCAAGCCTATTCAGCAAGACAGTTTAAAAGACTTAACTTCAACATAGAGAAGCTTATTTTGAAAGTCACTAGTATAAGAAGTTACCAGGAGAATAGGTCATCTTTCAAGTTCACAATTGTGACAATTTTTTGTGATGGGTGTCAGAAATTCATATTTGTTTCAATGATCTCTGTAACACCATTACTTTTGTTCTCTTCTAGACAGGTATCTTTTTTCTTAGTAAAAGTAGCAAACAGTGTATCCATCATTCCCAGAACTTCTAGTAGTTCTTCTTGATAGTCAATTTCTTTTCCAATGGCTTCCTGAAGTTTCAAGAACTGTTTATCAACTATTGCTGACTGCCCAACCACAGGCTGATAAATATCTGTAGAGAAAAATATCAGTTAAGAATCCATAGATGTAGAAAAAGGAAAAAATTGGATTAGATAGTTAGAGATACATTTAAGGATTCTAGCACAAATCCAACGTTCTGAAAAAATAAGGTAACTTTAATGTTGTCTGTTCTGAAAGCAGTGGTTGCATGTAATATTACAGGGGCAGTATGTCAAACAGAAACTGAAGTTTTTATGACTTCAAATACTATTTTTACCTCACTGAATAAGAGAATAAATACTAATAAGAAGAAACATGTCGTATCAAAGGTCCTTAGAGACAACGAGGAGCTTCCTGAAGCCTATGCAAACTGAATCCTGACTATGGTCAAAGTTATCTGGAAATACCTCTTTTTAGGATCATTCTCTTGACACTAAATCCATACAAAGAAACAAAGCCATAAGGATTTGGTTTCTTAAAAATGTAGCACTTTCAATCTTATTTAAATTATATAGCAAGCTAGCCATATGGCTCTGAGAATCTTTTTTTGTATTGTCTTACCAGTGATCATATCAGCAACTGTCACCAGCACAGGAGTAAATCTAGGCTCAATCACACGCCTGCAAAATTAGAAGACGTTCCAATTTTACCTGTTTTGTAAAATTTTGTACTGCACTCAACCAACAACAAGCAGCTTTCTCACATACGCATAGACAAATTTTTCACGATAAAGAGATGTCACAGAACAGCAGTCAGAGATGCAAGTCAAAAAAACCCACATACGTGGTATTTACCCTCCTCCTTTCAGGAAGGCAGTGGGGGTTGAAGGAGTGTCAAAAAGCCTTGAGTGCATAAAAAGACAAGTTTCATCACAGAGATGGAAAATAACAGACTACAGGTAGAGTGTCTGGCAAAGAAGTAGAATCTCTCATACTATCAGCAAAACTGTGCTGTACTAACAGGTAAACTGTTTCAAACCTATCCCAAAACCTTGGTATTGGAATAGAAGAGGCATGTGAGATTTCAGGAGTACCTGTGTTCTACCCATGATTTGTTTAAACTCTGTGGGAAGTCATCAGGGAATAGAACTGTCAAAACAGTCAGAAGGAACTCATGCTAAAAAAATACCTTGCCACAAAGGTAAGCAGGAGATTAACTTGCTTCTCGTCCCGGCCTGCAAGGGCACTTCTCAGTGTTCCTCTGCGATGTAGTTCCTGCATGACTGCAACCGTGACTTCAGGAGTATGAAGCATGATGGGTGGCTGGACACAAGTAAAAAGAGTTTAGTACCAAAGCAACATCTTTACACACAACACACAGGGCTGGTGTTAGCAAAGCCAAAACAGAACCCAACCTAGAGTCCTTCCTAGTTATACACTAAAATAAAGTTAGTATGACATACAGGGAAAATTAACATTAGGTGACAGCACAAAACTCTGTCAAGAAGAAAAACCAGTGCCTCACCTCCAGTACTGCATCAAGAGCCTTGGAAGATTGAAAACTCCTCAGCAGCTTATCGTATTTTCTCAAAACACGTTTTACAGGTTTGCTGACACAGAAATCTTCCTAGAATTCAAAAGAAAAAAAAAAAAAAGAGTTCAGAATAAGACAAATACACATACACACTCACATAATGGATTACATATATTACCATGAATAATTTTATATATTCCCTCCCTTCCCTTTCTCCAATTTAGCACCTCCCAAGAAACAAATTTTTCAGAAATGTTTCAGCACATATTTTTTTACCACATCATACCTGTTTCGGCATGTAAGTTCTTCCTTTCACATAGGTTCTATATGCTGGTTGTCTCTTCTTTTGAGTGTTTTCACTCTTTTCTTCTGGTTTTCTGTGTTTAACATTCAGCACCCCATTGGTCATGCCCACAACTATGGTTTCATCTTCAGGCTAGCACAACAAAATCACAGAGTTAGGACCCAGTGTTTTATTTGTGCTCTATCGTGCATGCATGCTCTATCATACACATTTTTTTTTATTTTTATGCGTCATGGTAAGGTTCAAATCACAGTATCATAGATGACTTAAGGTGGAAGGCACCTCTTTGAGGTTCTGTGATTGAATACTTTGTTCAAAGCAGGGACAGGGCTATGCTCATAAGCAACATTATAGACTGACTAACGAATCAAACTCAATTATGCACTAACATCCTTCTGTAACTACCAAATTTTGTTTTTTCCAATGGCATACAACTACCTTTGGCTATTAGGTACCATACAGCAGGCATGAACAGAACCTATGAGAAAGCAAAGCTATAATGGAACAGCAGGATTTTGAGAAACAACTGAAAGTTGTTCAAAACACCAGTCCTTGGCGTATGTCATTTCACTTATATAATGAAATGGGTATAAATTTCAGCGAGAAGAATGGTGGATGCCCCATCCCTTGAAGTGCTTAAGGCCAGACTGGATGGGGCTTTGAACAACCTCGTCTAGTGATGTCATTGCCCAGTGCAGAAGGGGCTGAAACTAGATGACTATATAACCTTTCCAACACAAGCCATTCTATGACATGATAACTGCCTAGAGAATTATAGAGGGTATAGATGGAGATCAGCTGGTGAATGGCTCATTTAAGGGCATCAGTTGAAGCTTATGAAGATTCAAGTGGAATAAAAGGAAGTAACTCTTCACACAAGTATCAGAAATGTGGAAGTCCTTGACAAGGAATCTAAAGAAGGTCTCAAGTTAATCAAGCTCAAGGAGAGACTGAATATGCTTACACAATAGAAATTAATTTAATTACATCAAAACTACATATTGATGAGTTCATTTCTCATCTGAAAATGGAATTTGGGACAATATCATCACGCTCGCCCTGCGTTTAGTTTTCTATATGCATTTACTTATGGCTGGCCATAGTTGGGAGCAGCATCTGGAATTAGACCCACCTTTGATTTGACTAAGTAAAGGCATTATAATGTTCTTGTATGCCCATTTAAAATTCAAAATGTTTAGTCAATAGAAAACAAGATTATGTTTTAAAAAATGTATTATACACACTCTAGAGATACTAAACTACAGGTATTGCATATTTTGCAGATGCCACAGGGTCTTAAAAGGCTATGGATTCTGTACTCTTCACTTCAAAAGAAAAAATATTCCAAGTTTATTTTAGCTCAGCTCCCTAGGTAATCTGGTAGGAAATTAAGATACTCCCCACACACACTTTCTTCTACATTCCAGAAAAGCAGGAAAATATAAAGTAGTAAAGGTAGTAAAGATCCCTCACAGGCCCATTCATGTGTCCTTCAGAGGCTACATAAGGGGGTACTACATGACCACAGTGTAGTTTAAAAACTGGTGCTAGCCTCCAAATTTCTGGCCAGGAGGTCACTTATCCACTGGAAATCAAGTGCTTTAGAGAACTGTAAGAGTCTCTGCTGTCTGCCTCCAAGACATGCCTTCACAAACAAATTTGTTTATGCTCACACCTTTCTTCTTTCTTCCTCAGACCAACCTGACACCACCAACTTTTAAAGCAAGTTCACACCCTATTCTAAATTTCTCAACAAATTAACTACTTTTTGTTTGGTTTTTTTTGCTGCCATGCAAGAGGACTTACTCCATTCCTGAAAGGTAAAAGGTGAGTACAATCTTCTTAAACTCAAAGGACTTCCCTTCTAAAGTAAATACTTTCCCTATGATATACACTGTCATTTATAAACACAAGATTTTGTACTGATCTAGTCAGGTAACATGGTATTTGATTCTATTACATTCAAAACTTCTTAGTGTTTGTTACTCAGGAATAACATATTCAATCACCCTACTTTGCATGCATGGCACTCTTTGGGAACACCCAGTAGCTGTGAAACCAACAATTATTTACTTTAGTGACTTATAAGGTATCAGGAATGACCTTGTTTAGGAAGACCTCTAATGCACCTACCGACAACGCAAGACTGAGGATGGATGTTGCATAGTTGAAGCTGTGGACTACTTTGTAGGATGTAGTACTGTAAATCTTCACATGCCTACACAGAAGAGCACAGGTAAAAACATTGTTAGTAAAGCTCTACTGTAGTCAATTCACAGGCACTTCATCACTCTCATCTTCTAAAGATCATTTAAAGAAACTGAGTATTAATACAATGCATTCCTCAGACTACCATTGAGCTTCTTAGGTAATACTCCTGCAACAGTAATATTCTGTTAAAAGGTATCCACAAGTCAAGTTGGGATTGCTGCTGTCCCAAAAGAGGTGAAAATGGGTCGAGAACAGAAGAAACCAAAGGCTACTTGGTTTAGTGTACTGACTATTTGAATTCAGAAATGCATATTGGGAAAACACAAAGAAAGCATCTCTTCAAATTTGTTCTTAAATTTTAAATACAAGATCTACTAGCATTTTCTGGGAGTAAATCCATAGATGTTCTTGTATCAAGGTTCCCCTTAAGGATTTGGTTGGAAGCATGAAATGTTTAACTAATTGGAAAACAAAATGTTATCCTACAAGGATAAAATTTAGTGTTATGTAATCATAATGCCTGAGGAATGCTAGGAAATACAGGAGAGAGAAGAAAACAGATCCACTTTCATTTCAGATCACTTCATATTTCTAATGTCTCAGAGACAGAACATCAAGTACCAGTACTCATCAACTGAAACCAAACAAAAAAGCAAAGAGGTCATGTTCACAAGCACTCTCAGGTACAAAAAACAACAGCAGAGAGACACGAAAAACAGGCTTTTAACAAGTGAATACTAATAGCTATTTAAACTGTATAAAAATTAAGAATAGTTAATTTACAAAGACTGGAGAGGTCAGTTTAGAGATTTAAAGAACTGAACACTTAGAAGTTCCCCATATGCATTCCCAAACAGCACATACAATCCTTTATTGATATACAGATTAGTGAGAGGAAAAGATTAAGGTGTATCACAGAATCATAGCACAGTTTGAGTTGGAAGGAACCTTTCAAAGCTCATTTAGACCTGCAAAAGCAGGGACAGTAGGCACCTTGGCCCCAAACCATATTCTCAAATAAAGCCCAAAAACCACACACAGGTTAACAGTGATGTCTTCAAAGAAAAAAAGTCCTAAACGGAAACATAAGGAAGCCACAAAATTTACCAACCTGTCCAGGGATCCTGACAATAACCTTTGTCCAGAGCTGTTCAGGCACAAACAAGTTACAGTTTTATGGTGATTTTTAAGTGAAACAAGTAACTGTCCGCCTTTTAGTACATCCCAAACTTTGACATATCGACCTCCTGTGAAGAGGAAGGACAAAAAAGAGTCTTACATTTATGCTTCTCTGAAGAAGTTTTCACAGAATGATGCAGTATCTCCTTCACAGGTACCTTTACTTCCTAACAGTTTTCTCTACCTACTCACCATCGTCTTCCATTCTATCTCCTGGCACAAGCCTGCTCTTTTTTTAGGCCATTCTGAATGGAGCTGAATGACTCAACCATTCTCCAACCATATTCATTACAAAACAAAAAAATAATCTATAAACTACAGGATTACAGCACTTCTGATGCAACGGTAACAAAGAGACTAAAAAAGCTTATCAATATGAAGAGAAATACACAGTCCCATCTTTTCAAAACCTAAGTATGTTAATTTCTTCAATTTAGAAGTGGGCCGATTTGAGTCTGCAAATTGTTATTAAAAGTAACTTGGAGGGGGTGGAGGGAGGGGGGAGGGAAGTGGAAATTACAAGAATATCAAAGCAAAGACAAAAAGAAGAGACCCCCTACTTCCATCTGCCAGATAAACGCAGATTCCTACAGAAGATATTTGAGAAATCCAACTATTTTACCACTTACCACGTAATTATCAAACTAAAACACCACACAAAAAATATGTAGACAAAGTAATTCTCAAATGAGGACCACAGAAAAGATATTTGATTTTACAGAATTACCTGCAGATACTAGAAGTCCACCAGATGGAAAGAGAAGCACACTCTCCACAGGATGGCCATGTTCTATTGTCAAGACACTACTCTTTGTTCGTGCATCAAACAGCTTCACAGTGTGATCATAGGAACCTGCAGACACCAGCATAAATCAATTTCATAATTTCAACTAGTTCAGGAACTAAAACAGCCATGTCCTACCATCTGAAGGAGTTCCTGGCTAATAGCAATAGTTTTAAACCATAGATGTAAAAACACCTTGTGATTTACTTTGGTTAGTTTTCAGCCTTGGGGCAACACAGATTTTCTAATTCTAGCCCTATCTACACATCAGTCTGTAAAAGTAACTTGTTTTAATTTTATTTCACTTCCATTAATCAAGTGTACTTATAACAATAAATATCAAGCAACCTGATAAAACCTAGCCTCTTGTGCCTCTTGAAAAAAGGAATACTAGGTTGTTTTTCCCCTGTTTCCCACAGACTGATACAAAGCTACTGCTAGGAAAACCAAAAGCAACTGGTTCCAAGTAACTCCACATGACCTCACGCTTTTGAATCTTCCAGTTATGGGCTGTACAGGCTAGTGTCCTGCTTCAGAAACTTGGTACAACATTTCGGTCACTCCCCGCCAAAGGATACATTCAGAGTATTTTCTTTCAAAAGTTCTGTTAACCCTAATAGGCTAAACCAAAAAGATGTTAAAACTCAATTCCTGCTGTTTCCCCTAAAACATCTGTGTCAAGCTTAAAAAGCAGGCAAAAAGAGGAAACAACAAAGTAGGCATTGCATAGGCACACTGATCCTTTATGACTAAAATACAATAAACATGACCTTAATGCACCAAAAATAATCTTTCAGCATTTTTCTTCAATTCAATCCAAAAGAAGTATAAGCAGAAAATAAAACAAAACCTGTTATGAAGACATCTGCATTCACTTTACTTGCACAGCCGCATCTCACATAGTCAGTATGTTCACTATAAGATATGATTTCTGTGGCACTTGGAATATCCCACAAATTTGATGAATAATCATCACCACCAGAAAATATTCGGTATTTGTCAGACAGGAAGCCCACTAGATGAACTGGTCTAGAAAACAAAGTCCACAATACCCAAAGTGAAAATATATTCATGTTTCAAGAGAAGTTAGTCTGTATGAAGAGTTTATTAAAGTACTCTAACCTAGAAGTGCAGTGCATATTAGAACTTATAAAGCCTCACTTTATAACAGTAAATTTTAAGTCTGGCTTCTTTGAACTATTTTCTTGACCTTTAGAATCACTATTGAAGTTTTTATTATCACTGTAATATCCCAACAGATGTTGGCAGAACACACAGGTGTGCACAGGTGTGCAGTTAATCTAGCCCTTAGAATGCAACACACAATTTGCAAAGAGACCACAAACAGAAACACTCTTGAGGTCAGTCTGGGTACCTCCCATGGAAAGGGGGATTTTTGTTTTTCTATGTAGATAAAACACACATTAATCTTTCATAGCATAGAAGTCTGCTGAAGCATTATCATTGTCTTCGCCTCATTGATACATCAGAACTCCTAACTTCTTCCCCATCCCATGATACCATTATGGACTTTTTCTGTTTTTTGAACTTTTTCTTAAGGAATTCCTGCTTTTCCTGGTGTATTTCTTCATTGTTTTTGTTTAGACACTTTTTAGAGTTCTTTTCCTACCAGCATCAAATAAAATGTGCTTACCAATGAAACGTACTCACAAGACTAGCTACACAACTTATTAAGACACACCCACGTGAAATGGAAAATGTATTAACTCTTCTACATACTTTATTTATATTTAGAATTTTTTAAAAATTCATTCTAATTTTTAATTTAACTTTAAAATCCACTTTCCAGTAAGATCAACACGAGACAGTCAAAAGCAACATAAATCAGTACTACTCAGATTTTCAGCAGCATGTGAAGCAGACATAGGACTGCAATTTCACACAAATACTGTATATTGCTGAGGCACTTGAACAGAGAAGATGGGGAAGCCCCTTCCCTAGCAGTGTTCAAGGCTAGACTGGATGGGGCTCTGAGCAACCTGGTCTAGGAGCAGGTGTCCCTGCCCTGTGGCAGGCGGGTTGGAACAAGACAATCTTTAATGTCAAACCATTCGGTCTGTGATTGAGTCTGTGATATTCAAGTATAGCAAAGACGCTTACGCCAGCAAACAAAACAACCCAATTCTGCCTTACTTGGTATGACCCTCGAACTGCCTCAGCGGTGCTTTGCCGCTGACGTCGAAGAGGCAGATGCTGCCGTCCTCGCTGCCGGCGGCGAGCAGGCGCCCGTCGTCCCTGTAGGTGGCACAGTAGGCGGCGTCCCGGAAGCGAGAGAACGTCTTGATGGGCTCCTGGGAGTAACGGCCATAGATGTGGATCTGGGAAAACAAGAGCGCGTTACATCTCCCTGCGTGACACCAGCTGAAAGACAAGAGCATAAAAGCCTCGGAAAAGCCCCTTACCCTCGAGGATGCGGTGACTGCGTAGTTATATGGCGGGACTGGGGAGAAGTCAATTTTATTTACTGCACCAAATTCCTTTATCTGAACAGGTGTCTAAAAAAATTGTGAAAAAGATCATTAAATACACATAAGCACACCATCAAGTATGAAAACATAAAAATAAAAGCTGGTTTTTCCTACAAAGAACTCAAGACTCCATTAGAATCAAAAAGGTTCTTAGATACAACGGTAGTGAGTTTCACTTCTGACCGGCTACTCCTGCTCTTGTAATTTTGTTCCAATACATGCATTACAACTGACCTATTAATTATGTGTTTTGAGGTTAAAAAATAACCCATGCTTATTTAAAAAAAAAAAATTAATTGCACGAAAGCAGTAAAAAAGGCATTCTGGGCCAGTAACTGCGACTGTTGGGCCGCTTCCTCCTACCTTGTATCCCCGCCAGTACAGCGTGTCCTGCGTGATCTTCTCCCCGAGCTTGGGGCACGCCTGGACCACCACTGGCTTGTACGCGGCCATGGCGCACGGGGCGCGGGCCGGGCCCGGCTCAGCGGGAGAGGCTCGGGAAGGGCCGATGGGCTCGGGGCACACGGAACACGCTGCGCCCCGGCGATGGCGGGCACCGCGCCTGCCGCGAGGAGAGACGCCGGGCGCGCCAGAAGTGCGTCATCAGAGTGCGCCTCTCGCCGGCCAATCGGCAGGGAGGCAAGGCCCCACTTCCGGCGGCGGCGGCGGCTGGAAGCTGAGGTGAAGCTGGACTCGGACCCGAACCGTGCGGGCGTCCCTCCCTCGGGCCTGTCCTCACGAACTGTCTCCAGAGAGAGGGGACAGCTGTAGGCGTGCCGGGAGCTGCGCGAAACGCGGCCCCACCCGAAGCTTCCCACGGTATTGTGAGCAAGCCGCGGGTGTTCTGGTATTACCTTTACCGGTTTGAAGGGGATTTGTTTTTTTTCCCTGCATATGTGGTAGAAGCAATTTCTTTTACTCAATATGCGAAAGGCGTAAAGGAGCTTGAAGTCGCTTTAACTTTTCCCTCAAGTATAATGTTTCTGGGGAATACTGTAATCTTCTTATAGCTTTTTTCTGGCTTGGTATAAATCTGGTTGGTTGTCACGTGTTGTTTTTTGTTGCAACTAGGCAGATATTCTGAAGCATCTTTTCACATGGATGAAACTCCTACTGGCTTAATAATGAAACTTGGCTTAAGTATCCAGGTGCTGAAATCTAAATGGAGATTTTGATCACTAACTTGTGACAGCAACAAGGTTGATACTTTACCAGTGTTTTGACTGACAAAACTAAATGCCATAAGCTTAAATAAAGTTTGATTATTATTATTATTGTGTATTGTTTCACCAGAATGTTCTTAATCTTTGTTACATTTGTTCAGTTGCAGATTGTCCGTAAAATTTGGCTTGGCTGGCCAGAATTGCTCCTGGCTGGAAACAATGAAGCATTATTTTGCATGAAACTTGTACAGGACTGAGATCATGGCATCTTCAACAAACTTAGATGTCGGTGCCCAGTTAATTGTGGAAGAATGTACCACAAACTACAGCCTTCCACCTATGCCAGACATTAAAGTGGAGCATCAGCTTGACACCAGCACAGAGGAAGGCCCAGCTCAGAGTGTCACCATGGGGATGAAATTCATTTTGCCCAATAGATTTGATATGAATGTCTGCTCACGGTTTGTGAAGTCTTTGAATGAGGAGGACAGTAAAAATATTCAAGATCAAGTCAACTCTGACCTTGAAGTTGCATCTGTCTTATTTAAAGGTTGAAGTTATGGTACAAAATATTATCTGTGGACTGTATCATCCTGTTATTATGTTTTCTTAAAAAATCCTTCTGCTTTATATGTGCTTTATATTGATCATTTTTCTAAGATGTGTTCCTCTAACGTTTTTATTATATGCTTGATGGATTATTAATGTTAAAATTTTCTCCAATACTAATTTTTGTACTGCATTTTAAATACATATATTAACTGAAAAATCAGTGGCACAAAAAGTCTCTTAAGTTAGTAAGAGCTGATGCTAATTAGGAAAACAAGCTGCTTCTGTATGGCATGTCCTTCAGCAGTATCCTTCTTTATAAAACACTACTGAACACACTGTATCATCAGATTCAGTGGCTTTCAGCAACATGCTGTATCTTTTCATGAGGGTGATGAAAGATAACGTGGACCACATGTGTTTTGTCACTGTGGCTGTACAAAGCCTCTAGTCCTAGCAATGGGCTTGCCACCGTAGCTTCACGCTGCTTGAAGGCAAATGCTACTCCAGGTCTGGATCCCTGCAGCTAATCCAGCCATTGCTGGACAGCTTTATCAGAATTGATCCATGCTTTTTCACAGCTGAGGATATGGATACAGAGCAAAATTAGGACTTCCATCTACTTCCTTTTAACAATTGTGGTTTCTAGCACTTGCTGTCATATTTCAGACCATTAGTGGTATATCTTTTCATGAAGTTCATGTGACCTATTTCCTGTAACAAATGCAAAGCCAGGCCTGCTTTGAATTTTGATGGCTTTACTGACTTGTGTTGTTTGGCTGCAGATCAGCCATTGCAGGTTTCAAACCGTTTTGATTCTCTCCAAGTGCTTACTAGCAGAGACGCAGGTCTGAGTGGCAGATTTACACCCATCAGCAATAGGGTTGTTTATCTGAGGTAACATTTGTAAATCCCTTAGAAGCAGTCCTGTAAATCCAGGGACCACAGGTCAAAATCTATGGTAGGAATCTTAGTACAGTCAGTTGTAGCTGTTTGACTGGCAAACAAAACACAATTTTGTTTTCTGTTACACTCTACTTCTTTCAATTAGTTCTCTCCCTGAATTTGTGCTTGCATTTATGATCACAAAGTTCTCTATCGTGTTAATTTAATGTGTGTGTTAATTAGCTTCTAGTCATTAATAAGTGGTGTCAAATCAATTAAGCCAATATGGAATTTAATCCTTCAATATGTCTTCTCAGTATTTAATCTCAAAACCAAAAGCTGCTTTTGAGAATTAGAAGCCAAAACAACATATAAATATATTCTGTAATAAAATGCTATTAGGTTCTAAGAGAAAGCAAGAGCAGTTAGTATGAATGAACACATCAGCAGTGAATGACTTCCTGAATTCTAAGCAGTGACCTGCTGTTGCCTTTTATGTAAGTTAGTGTGGAGCCTGTCTTCCTGCTGGATGAGTATTCATCAGGCATCCATAATGCTATTAAAATTTTATCCAGGAGTGAGAAAAGCCCTGCTGAAGAAAGTTAATGAAGGTTGTCTCCACCAAGTGTAGTGGACTGATTAGGGAGCAGGCAAAGGGAGAGCAGCTACCTGAGTGCATGTCTGACCAGAGCTGTGTCATGTTATTGCCTTGGAGAGTGTCTGTAAGAAGATGACAAGTTAAGTAAAGCCCTCTAACATAATAAATCCACACCAGGCATGTTGAAAAATCTAGACAAAGGCTTACTTCATTTAGAGGTGTCTCTGAGTGACATGCCATACTGAACATACGAACTGGCATACTTATTTTATGCTAGAAATTAATGCAGCCCTTTATTCAGCTTTCACAGTACACGGGGAAAAGCACATGTCACAAAACTTTCTTAACATGGATTTCAAATGTCTTGTGATACTGGTGCTTTACAGTTTGACTTAGACTCTAACTTGCTTTTAATGCTCTTATTAGTACTGAAATCCTCTCTTTTTTGTTCAATGTAGCTGAATGCAACAGCCACACTTCTCCTTCCCCTGGTATCCAAGTAAGACATGTTTATACTCCATCAACTACTAAGCATTTCTCACCAATAAAACAGTCAACTACACTAACCAACAAACACAGGGGAAATGAAGTCTCTACAACACCTCTACTTGTAAACTGTAAGTATCCTTCTGCCTTTACTATTAATAATTACTTTGTGAACTCTGTGTTGGATTTATGCAGTTTTTGATTTGGTGTTGGAATGAACTTTAAGGTAAGAAGAAAACACTGAGATAGTCTTGTCTAATTTCACATGGGTCCAACCATAAAATAGTCGTCCACCTGATATATGGAATTCATGACTAAATTTTATTTTCCAGAAAGAAAAAAACCCCTTACCTATACTTTCAGAATCAAGAATTAGATTCTAAGTTGTAAGTTAATGTACTTCATGCCCATGTTTTCTGAACTTGTACATCTTAAAATTAGACGACTGGTAAATGCTGCAGGATACTTAAGATGTAATGTAAAAACAGAATACTGCAAGTGTTGTGATTGTCACAGATCTTGAAAATCAAGGAAGCATTGTTTCTGGTGGGGTTTTTTCAGAATTGTCAAGCATTTCCTTTATAAATAGATATGCTGTAATTTACTTTACTTTGTCAGTAAACTATTTTCTCTATAAATTAAAAGTAATTTTTTTAAAAGAAAAATGTAACTTGCATGGAAAAAATTAATCGGGAGCTGCAGTGTAGTCCACTGAACAAAATACGCCATCTTTCTAAATAAACTAAACTTTCATGTAGTGACTTGGAAGAGGACAGTGAACATTTACAGTTAATGTAATCATTAGCTAATTTTGTTACTACATCATGTGGATAATTTATCACATATAGCTTCCTGAGCACCTTTCAGGCTTGCTCCAAGTTGCAATTAGCAAAACCATGCATCCATGCAGTTTTTTGTGGGATCGGAGGTTATTTCTTCATAACCTCTGAAATGACAAAAAAAAATCCCGCAATCTTTGTTTTCCTCTCTATATGTCAAGTTCTGTGTAGTTTTGTAATTCCACATTGCAGTAGTGAGAGTCACACTAGAGGCCTTCTTTGGAGAGTAGCAGGACAGGTCTTCTGGTGATTCAAGTGTGATTTTTAAATTAAACATACTTAATTTTTCAAACTGAGTTCATTTTCATTTGATAAGTGGGTCTTAAAGTAATCTTGGGTCACTGACTAAACAGCAGTGAAGAGAGCATGTTACTTTGTAAAGAGTTGATGTGGGAAGCATCCTTGCTTTCAAGAATGACTGCTGCATTGGTTTAAAAATTACCTAAATCTGTGAAAACTCTTTGGAAAATTTTCAGGTTTTAATAATAAGTTCAGAGCATAAGGTGAAATCATCTACACTCTGGATTCCAAGTTCTATACTGCTAAAACCAATGGACATATTATGCTCAGCTCTAAACAGAGCAGAATGAAAATTGGTGTCTGTAACACATGCTTTTGCTTCCTTTTTTGCAGCTTTATCAGTTCATCAGCTGGCTGCTCAGGGAGAAATGCTGTATCTGGCCACACGTATTGAACAAGGTGAGACAGAAGGAGATTAAATGCCTTCTTTTTTCCTTTGAGCTATTTATATACTGTTGTGTTTGACGTTTTCCCCAAAGCTATAAAGTCCTCAATAACGTTACAAACTGGGGGACATTTGAGGTATCTGTTCTTTGCAGATGTGGACTATTGTTTTGTATCGGTCTATTACTCACTGTATGATTTGCATTTTAAATTAAAATATTAACGTTAATAGGAGTCGGTAAATCCCTTCCTCTCCCTGCTCTCTAGCTATATAGGTAATCCATGGAACTAAGAAAGGAATATGTTAGTTCTGTCACAGCAGTTTATTTTATTTTATTTTTAATTTATCTTTGTCATTTGAAACATATTTCTATTAATGGTGGCTTTCCAATTCTATTTAATCAATCAGCATAAAGACCTGCATGTTGCTAATTTAAGCCAAGGCTCACACCTGCAGTATAATAGAACTACACATTCTGAATAGTGTGGCATTTGTATGTCCATAATACATGTACAAAATTTCAGCTCTACCTAACATATTTATTAATTTAGTAGCATGAATAGTATATTCTTAATGCACTAATAGTAATCACCTATGCTTTCAGTGCATTCTTGTTGACATGTTTACTGGAAAAAAGATAATGAGTCACTGAGTCTAAATACTTCGTACTGAGCCATGTATATGAAAAGCAAATCAATTCTGGAGTGTGGGTAGCAGATAAAAGTGCTTATTTTGGTGCTATGATAAGCATGGAACTTTTAAAGTACTTAGATATTAAAAAAAATACCCAGCTCAAATATTTGTCAGCCAATTGTTAAAAGTTCTCTTTTCTTCTTCCAGATGCACTTGATGTAGATGTTAATGGTTTTCACTGACCATCTTACTCTGTGAACTCTATGGGGAATGGAGTTGTTTTATCTGTATTGCTGTACAAGTTCATTCTTCACAAAATTGTATAGCTCTATTTAAAAAAAAGCATGGTCTACAGTATAATACAGGATGTACCTCTTTATTTTTCAAATTTTTATTTTTTGTCCTTTATCTTCTCTGCAAAGGTGAAGCCCAGATTACGGACAACTTGTAATATTTCTGCGCAAAAACAGAGTTTGATTTATAGAGCTTTAAAACTTAGATTTTAAATTATTAAACTAAAGGCTAAAATTTTACTTTTGTTAATTGGATGTATTTTTCTTTCTGGGACAGAGATACTACCACCATCACTGGGACAGAATTTTGTTTTTAAAATTGAGAATGACTTCTAGGTCACACTGGTTCCCAGTAAATAAATGTTACCATCAACACGTTTCACCAGCTGATACAGTGCAAGGAATTGTGAAATCCTTTTGAAAAGGATTACTAAGTTATATATTTTTCTCTAAACAGAAAATTTAATCAATCATAAGGATGAAGAAGGATTTACCCCTCTGATGTGGGCTGCAGCTCATGGACAGATAGCAGTAGTGGAATTTCTCCTCCAGAATGTAAGGAAAAAAATCACAATTGATTTTTGAATTAATTTACTCTTTAGTTTGTTTTGCCTTCCTAAGTTTGTCAATGCTGCTACAAGCTTAAAAGTTTTAAAGTTAAGGTCTGTGTAAAACCTCAAATTTGCTTATTTTTTTTAATTGATAATTTATTTCAGGGTGCAGATCCTCAGATTCTGGGGAAGGGGCGAGAAAGTGCCCTCTCACTGGCCTGCAGTAAAGGATACACAGATATTGTCAAAATGCTGCTTGACTGTGGAGTTGATGTCAATGAGTATGACTGGGTAAGACTTTAGCTTGAATTTTGTCAGAGGGTGCTTTGGCCAGAAAATTGAAGTGGAACATAGCATTGGTCGGAGTTTAAAAATTGTTCTACTTCTGAAATACCTGAGAGTTTCAAAACTTCCATAGGATAGGGAAAGTTAATGCTACTAGTTCTGACTTCTTGGCAGAAAGAGAATGAGACTAATGCTGATTTCTTGTAGAAGTGAGACTAATGCTGACTTCTTGTATAAGTGTGATCTTAGTGTTTGAACAGTACACAAAAATGATGGAAGTTGTGAAGATCTAAAACAGAACCTCATTTTTATAAAACCTAGGAAGTCTCTTATTGGTACTTGGAAGTATATTCGTGTGTTAAGGAATTACAGTTGCGGACTGCTTAATCACTAAGTGTCTGAAGCATTTCTCTGCTTTTGCAGAATGGAGGCACACCCTTGCTATATGCAGTACATGGGAACCATGTGAAATGTGTAAAAATTCTTCTCGGTAAGCCAAATGTCCAAACCAAATTATCAGTAATAGCATACAATCAGTTCTCATTGTCAGAAATACAAGATTCTATTCCTGTTTTACATAGAAAGTGGTGCTGATCCAACTATTGAAACAGACGCCGGTTATAATTCCATGGATTTGGCTGTAGCCTTGGGCTATCGGAGTGGTGAGTATTGTAAATGTAAACCCTTTAAAAAAAAAATTAATTTTCACAGTTTCTCATTTATGTAGCTGCTGTAATGGCCTAGTAGAGGTTTTGCAGCTCTTAACATGTTACCTATCCAACAAGTCTTAATAATCTTAAAAGCATCAGGCCAAAATGGGTAGGAGCTTCCATTCTTGTTCCAGGAAGTCAGGTACTTAGTGTAAATGTCACTGACCTGGATCTGTATCGCTGGACACAGGTAATGGTGTTTTGGGCTGATGCAGCCATGACTCAGACAAGGGGAGCTGAGTTGCTTCCTCAGCCTGTACAAAGGAGTATGTTACTGGACAGTGATAAGAAGCCTGCAGCCCTCCTGAACCCCTCACCCTACTTGACTGGCATGATGTTATGTAGTTTGGAAAACCGTCTTTCAGATCAGCTCTAGCTCTAGCTTTTCTTGGAGGCAGACAATATTCAGTGAATTATACTATCTGGCTTGGTTATGGAAACCAGAAGCAAAGAAGGGACTACTGGTTGGTTTATTCCTTCATTGCTGCTGTCATTTTGAAAGCTGTGAAATGTCTGCCATTACAGAAATGAATAGAATCAAAAATTAAGCCCAGCTTACTCTCATGTGTCTGTGTATGCCTCTCCAAGCAGAGCCCTTCACTTATGAATGAGTCATGTCATGGTTTAACACCAGGCAGAAGCCAAGCCCCACACAACTGCTCACTCACTCCCCCATCAGAGATATCAGGGAGAGAATCAGAAGGGTGAAAGCTGGAGAACTCGTGGGCTGAGAAAAAGATAGTTTAATAGGGAGAGCAAAGGCAGTGCACATAAGCAAAACAAACCAAGGAATTAATCCAGTGCTTCCCATGAGCAGGCAGGTGTTCAGCCATCTCCAGAGAGTCAGGCCCCATAATGCAAAATCGTTACTTGGGAAGAGAAATGACATCACCACAAATGTCCCCCCCCTTTCCTGCTCCTTTCCCCCACTTCATACACTGAGCTTGGTGCCACATGGTCTGGAGTCTCCCTTTGGTCAGTTTGGGTCACCTGTCCTGGCTCTGTCTCCTCCCAACCTCACAAGCACCCCCAGTCCCCTCACCAGTGTGGCAGTACCAAAAGCAGAAAAGGTCTTGGCTCTGTGCAAACCCTGCTCAGCAATAACAAAAGCATCTGTGTTATCAACCCTGTATTCAGCACAAATCCAAACCACAGAAAATTAACTCTACCCCAGCTGAAACCAGCACAGCACAACTTCACAGGAGTCTACATAGAAGAGCTTCAAGAGCTCAATCTCAAAGTGTTTCACAGTGGTTATTTCTAATACATGTTTTTGGCTACTTTCTGTTTGTAGGCTAAAAATTCGTTTTCCATGTGCTATCAGTCTATCCAAACCAAAGAACTGGTGATAACCCCCAAAAACATTGTTTGCGTAACTGTGTGTATTGTTCTTGCATTATATAAGGCTTTAATGTCTGAAGGAATACTGATTTTATTCACAGAATGAATTTATACATGTCTGGTTTTTATTAAATGATTGCACAGCACAAGCAAGTATCTGCCAAAAAAAAAAAACACTATAACCCTAAAAACACCCAAAAATGAACACTAATTAATCTCATCTCTTTCTCTGCTTCAGTTCAGCAGGTTATTGAGTCTCATTTATTAAAGCTGCTTCAAAATATCAAGGAATAACAGTTGGCTCTTCTGCAGGTGCCACATCTTGGCTTGGAGATTGTAACTGCTGTTTAGCTCTAATCGGTGACAAGAGTTGGTTGTTTTGTAACTTTACCTCAGTGCCACTACTTGCTGGCATTAATTAAGCTTTTTAGTTCTTCCTCTTCTTTCAGTGTTGTTAATAAAAATGTGCAATGTCATCCTTTTCTTAAGTATATTTTATATAATTTTAGAAATGTCAGTTGTTGTGCATGAAAAACTTTGTAAATAAACTCAGTTTTGACCATCTAAGTGTTTACACTGAGTGCAGTGGGTGGCACTATGCTAAGTGTCCTACTTCATCACATCATTGGTACATATTCACAGGAATAAATGTGTTTAGATATTGAGGGATATCACCACAGAAGATAGATATCTGTACTGTTAATAATACCAAAATGTGCACTGTTTGTGAAGTTTTTGAGATCCCTGGTTAATATTTATCCTGGCTGGAGCCCCAGAACAAGTTTCATTTTTGCAATAGTGAGAATGCAGCTAAGACCGAGAGATTATTCTGTGTCACCTCACCTCATTGCTAAGAGAAGGAGGAGGTCCCTTCCAGGGAGAAGTTCTTCCCAGTCAGGGTGGACTGATTGCAGTGGGGTTGGTGGAACTCTGCAGTGGAGTGAGCATTTTTGCATGTGAATCACTCTCTTTTCTGTACATTGATGCTGTTAATGTTTGTTTTCTTACCTCATTGCTGTTTCCAGTAAATTTTTTTTATCTCAGCCTGTGATCTTTACCTTTTTTGTCTGGAATTCCCTTTCCATCTCACTCCAGGGGAAAGCAGAGAGGGAGTGGGCAAGCAAGTAAGTGGCAGTGTCCTTTGAAGCATCTCAGTGGGAACACTAAACTGGGTAGTACCATTCCTAAACCACAGCAGTCTTGTTTGGCACCCACTATGGGGCAGGAAGGATTGAAATTACAGATACAACCAGAGAGGACTGGAAACAAATTTGATCTAAGCATTTGCTGTATTTGGTAGGGATCCGTTATCTGGTCGCAGTGTTGTTTCATCTCTTGGTGTGGGTGTTGTACCTTACCCTTTATAAATTCCTGTATGTGATCCTCTTGATGCTATTTTTCAGAGGAGGGAAAGGGATCAGGATTGTTCTGTTGCTGTACTGTGTGACATCAATTTATGGCATTGATAACATCAAGGGCAGTGAGGGTCATTTGGATTATGTATTCAGTGCTGCTCTTCTACCCTTACCTCAGGCACTACATTTTGGGACCCCATTAATAGTCATGTCCAGTCTAGCAGTGGGGAGCTGGAGAGGATGATTTTCCCCTTCTTTTCACTCCTGTTACAAGAGCTTCTAAGAATTTTGAGTTCCCTCTGGGTGTTAACAATAGCATGTTCTTATTGCTAAGTCTTGCAGGTCTCCTCAGTTCGGTCTACATCATGTTTAGATATTTCTTGGGAGGCTATTCAGACATCTGCCTTGAGGGTAGATAGGCGTGAGTGGTATGGAACGTGGGAAAAAATGGGCCAGCTTTTGAAGGATTTTTGTGCTTCTGTGGTTTGAAAGTTCACCTGTGTCAGGAAAATCCACAAAACGCCAGAAGTTTATGTCAAAAAAGAGACAGAAGAGTCCTTCAACTTTATTCAAATAAAGGGAGAAAGTCTCTGGGGTACATGCCCACGGGGATTTCTCTCTCAGGGTTTTGGAGGGCGCAGCCTCCTTTTATCCTAAAATCCTGGCCTCATGTTTCCCTCTTCATTTCCCCATTGCCTGATGTACTGGGAAGGTACAGCCTTCCCAAGCAGCATACCCCATATGCCCCCTTGAACCTGACATTTTACCCCAAGTTTCAGAAGTTCAGGCTTGTTCAGACCCTTTTCGATCTCAGGAGCTAAGCTGTCCGGGCTCTGCTACAAACTTGCTGCCTTGAATTTAGTAGACAGTAAGAGTAATTTCAAAGAGGTTAACATTCATACCTTCACTCATCAAATTATTTTTAAAGACATTAGCACACATCTTTCCTCACTCCTAAACAACTACAGGATCCTGATAAAGTGGCAGAATATGTGAGGGAAAACTGCTGTGGCCACTCCAGAGAGGCACGAAATTATGCCCCTGGCTACTGTTTCCTGGACACTGCTTGTCCCTAAACAGCACGCTCAGAGGAGAGAGAGGAAAGAAGACCACCAGGCACCGTGGCCACTCAAACTGCAGCTGAACCAGAGGAACAACCTCTGCTGGTAGTGTTGCAAAATATACCAAGTTCAAAACTTTTTATTTTATAACTTTAGTCAGGTTTGTTCACCTTTGCCCCGCAGAAGGGAACTGAAGTTTGTTTTCAGGGCATTGTCCCACTAGGCCCGATGGGCTGAACACCTCAACAGAGTAGGAGCAGCACAAAAGAAATACAAAAGTTAACAGCCACCAAGGGCCATTAACGGAACATCGACTGCACCTGGCACGGGTCTGAGACGCCAGCTCTGGGAAAGCAGAGGTAAGAATGAGGACCTAAATAACATCGGAGGCAAAGAGATCTGCAATGAGTAAGAAACCAAATACTAAGAACTATGTAACTTGGAACTAATGAACATTAAACCAATTAATCTCTATGGGTTTTGATTCTATTAAGTTTGTGAAAAATCAGGTAAAATTCATGTGCCATGGAAGGATCTTCTCTGCACACCCAGGCTATGTGTGGATGAAGTTATTTCTGTTGCACATCCTGCCCAGATCAACATCCTGGCCAGAAGTAAAGTGAAGTAATGCCTTGATTATCTAACACTAAAAATGGTTGGATAGTTTTGGTTTCTCCCCCAGTTTCGGTCACAGTAGCAGCCGCCCCTATACAGAAGAAGAAATCCAGATCAAACCAGTTCACACAGGAAGGAATGAGGAGGAAGCAGAGTCCTCCTAACAGGAGGAAGAGTCAGGGCCAGAGATAATCATCCCATTTCTATCCCTGGGTGAGCTGTGGGATACACAGTAAGATTCAGCCACCAGACAGGAGAGCCACTGGTGACCTGCCTGGTCCAATGCCAGGATATTGCAGGCCACAATGTAAAACCAGACAATAGTGAAGCCAGACAGCTGGGATCCCTGACCCGGGGCACTGACAAGAGGATTGGGAAAAGGACAGAAACTCGGACCCTGGAGATGACTCCTGTCAAGCATGAAGGACAGGCACTGTCAAGGATGATCTAGTAGTGCACCCAAGCAGGTGGAATGCCATGGGAAAAGGTATCTAGTACCTGAGAGAATCAACTGTGCCAAACACAGTCTATAGCAATTTGAATAATGAGCAGATAGATGCTTTTGTGTGGATTAGAATGAAAAGGCACTGAATGATTGGTGGCTTAATGTATATGTGTGTGTGTGTGTGTGTGTGTGTGTGTGTGTGTAGGATTTGTTTCAAAACAATTTGGTTGCAATGGAGAGGATGCATTTAGCCATTTTGGTAATTGTTATGGTAATAATGGTAATGCTATGTAATATGTAATATGCAAAATGCTATGGTAATAATATAAAAGCATAAAAGTACCACTTAAGAAAATATAAGGAAAATAAGAAATGGTAAGTGTAGAAAGGTATTTCCATGAAGAATCCAGAGACAAGGCTTGATTGTTGCAATTTAGATGTCCATTGGTTAAACTGATGTTCAGAGTCTTCTGGCACCCTGACTGACAGTGCTGGGAAGAATGTTCAAAGGGGAAGTCCCTCCTTCCCCTTACACATCATACCACCAAAGCTGCATGGAGTGAGTGGGTCTCACTGCTCACACAGCTTGGCATGTCTCCAATTCTCTCTAGTCTACCACAGGGAGAAGGAAGGGAGTCTTAATGCACAAAGTCTTGTGTGGCTTCAGTGGGAACACTGGCAGTACCTGACTTCTTTCCACCTGCCTTCCACCACTAGTTCTGGAACAATTAAGCCAACACATTGTAGGTAGAAATTTCGTTGATACGAGAAAGTCTAATTGCAAGTACAGAACTCCTAGCTCATAAATATCTTTAATGCAGTGGCTGAAAGCAGGTATCAGCTGTATGGGGAAAAAAGCCACAGCCTCCTGCACTACAGCCTGCTTCAGCCACTGTAGTCCTTTGGATCATAGATTATCTCAAGTTGAAAGGGACTATACATATCATTGAGTCATGTTCCCTGCTCCTTGTAGGATGATCCCTATGTGTCCCTTCCAACTTGAGATATTCCATGACTACCTCAGACTAAATTGTATGACTAAGCATTGTTCAGATGCTCCTTCAATGCTGATAGGCTTAGAGACCATTTTCCTGGGAACCTGTTAAATGACCAACTACCCTCTCAGTAGCCTTTTCCTCATGTTCAGTCTGAACTTTTCCCTGATGCAGTTTCATTCCATCTCCTTATGCCCAAACTCTGGTTACCAGAAAGGAGATCAGTGCCTGCCTCTCCACTTCTTCTCATGCAGAGGCTGTAGGCTGCCATAAGGTTACCTCAGTTTCCTCCAGACTGAACAGACCAGGTGACTTCAGCTCTTTCTCATACAGCTTCCCTTCAAGGCCCTTCACCATCCTCATGGCTCTCCTTTGGACACTCCCCAATAGCTTCACATCTCTCTTCCACTGTGGCACCCAGAGCTGCCCCTAGCACTGGAGGTGAGGCAGCCCCCAGCTCAGAGCAGAGCAGGACAATCTCCACCCTTGCCCGGCTGATGCTGTGCCTGATGCCCTCAGGACATGGGTGGCCCTCCTGGCTGCCAGGGCACTGCTGACTCATGTTCAATTTGTCCTCAATCCAAACCCTCACATCTCTTTTCACAGTGCTGCTCCCCAGCCTCTTGTCCTCCAGTCTGGGGGATGTCCCAGTGTAGCTGTTGAGTGAAAACAGCCATTAAGATTTTGAAATTAGTTGAAAAAAAATCAGACAATGTTAATTGATTTTCTGGGACTTCTGTACTTAGTCAAAGCTACAGTGAATGATGGGGACATAACAGTGTGCACAAATAATAGATAAGCTTTTGAAAGAGGCTTTTCAGCAGGTCTCCCCCAAAAGTACATAGGGTTTTTCCCCATATAATATTCACGGTTCCAAGCATTTCTCCAGTGTGTCCACTAGAGGTCTGGCATCTCCTGACATCCATACACCACTAATCCCTGCCTTTCTTCCCCAGTCCATGGGTAGTGAGCCCAACCTCCAAGTTCTTGTATTTCTCATGTAGTATCTCTACTATACAAATTTTTTTCTATTTGAAAATAAATCCATACACAGAGAAAATGAGTACTATTTAAAGAACATGCACTATGATTCTGA